TTGTACACGTATGCATAGCTGGTGCTACAAATACATAACTATATGTATATAACTGTACATGTGTATACTGCGCCATGCGCGCGGGACGCCCGCGCTTCGGTTCTAGCCCAGCCCATGATGATGTGATGACACGAAGCTCAGGGTTTGCAAGCGACTCGCTGTCGGCGAAGTGTTGCGACCGTCCTGGGCCGGTGATGGGATGTCCCAGGGCTTCCTTGGGCCGGCTTTGGGGCTGTTTAGGCCCTGTCTGGGGGGGGGCAGGTGTCTTCGGCCCCAATGACGCCGTCCAGGCTTGCCAGACCGTTGTCACGACGCGCAAGCCTTGGCTTGAGGGCTCATTGGTGTGATCGTTGAACAGCTTTGTAGCATTGACTGGCTTTCTAATGAAATTGACGCCAGCTGGCGGAGCACATACAAAACCCTTTCCTGGTCGCACCGGCAGGGCCGCAAGTTCGACGACTTTGCCTTCATGGCTGAAGAGCTTTCGAGCCACCTCCAGCTGTCCTTCGCCATTCTTTGAGCCTCTTGGACGGACGCATGCCGGAGATGCGGTCTTGGGCGTCTTTGGGAGCCGTCTTGGAACCCTCTTGGGGGCTTGCATGGTCATCTTGGAAGTCTCTTGGGGCCGGTTTGGGGGGCCTCCTGGGCTGTTTTCGGGCCCTCTCTGAGGGCCTTGCCGAGGCCGTCTGGAGCCCATCGTGTGCCGTCTTGGAGCCTTATTGGGCGGTCGGAAGCCAGGAACAGCGAAATCTTTCTGCGTCGGCGGCTAGGCAGAGTAACTGCGCTGGCGGAAGAGCCAACTAAACGGGGAGGAGGAGGAGGAGGAGGAGGAGGAGGAGGAGGAGGAGGAGGAGGAGGAGGAGGAGGAGGAGGAGGAGGGGAGGAGGAGGGGGGGAGGAGGAGGAATTGTGCCACAGTGCACGCAAGCTATAAAAAAAAGGGGGGAGGGCGGCCGAAGGAGGGGGGCGGAGGAGCGAGGGCCGCTCCGGGAGAGCAGCGAAAAGGCGCAAAAATCCTTCCGACACCTCGGCAACAGCAACGTGTCTGGCCTCGTCGGAGCCTCCTTTTGGGGCGCGCTGGGGGCTCGCCTCCTCCTCCTCCTCTTTCTCCTCCTCCTCTCCTCCTCCTCCTCCTCCTCCTCCTCCTCCTCCTCCTCCTCCTCCTCCTCCTCCTCCTCCTCCTCCCTCCTTGGGTGTCCTGGGGACCTCTTTGAGCTGTATCCTGAGCGCTCTGGGTGCCCTTTTGGGGCTGTCTTCGGCTCGTTTTGGTTCCTCTTGGGCGGTTTTGGGGGTGCCTTGGGCTGTCTTGGAGGCCTGCTGGGCCGTCTCGAGGCCTTTTGGAGGCCCCGGGGAGGGGGTATCAGAAACGGTGGCGAGATGGTAGCGAGGTGCGTCCTCGGGCGAGGATCGAGGTCAGACGTTGTTCTGCCTTCGGGGGCACTCGTCGTCGCCTCGGCTGGACGCGCCTCGAAGCGACGTTTTTTGTTCCGAGGGAGTGCAGGACGAGGACGGGTAGGGAGATGAGGCAGGAGCATCAAAAGCAGTTGGAGCAGCAGTTGGGCCGCCTTGAAGCCGTCGTTTCGGCGTCTCGGGAATGTCGTTAGGACGTCTTGAGCTCACAACACCGTCCGCACTTAGGATGATTGGTGTTTGGAACTCGTTACGGCAGGTTCGTGTCGTGCCGACCCCAGCGTTGGTTTTTGACACCGCAGGGATCGTTCAACCTTGAACGCTCGGCCGATGCCGCAACGTCCGATCGTTCAACATCGATCGATTCTGGGTCGCCGGCGGCGTTCAACCTTGAACGTCCGCGCTGGGGTCGCCGCTGGTCGACACGACGCAAGCCTACCGTACGTGATGACACACGAGAACCAAACGAACATCTATGCATTTAGCGTCTCCGGGCCTTCCTGGGTGTCCTCTTGGGGCCTATGTTGGTCACCTCACGCCCCCTCGAGCCGTCGGGGGACCCTTTTTTGGGGCGTCTTGGAGGGCTTCGGCTGTCTTGGAGCCTTGTTGGGGCCATCTTGGAGGAGGAGGAGGAGGAGGAGGAGGAGGACGGGGAGGAGGAGGAGGAGGAGGAGGAGGAGGAGGACTCTCGAGGCCCTCTTTGGACCTCTCTTGAAACCATTTGGGACCTTCTGGGCCTTCTTCGGGTCGTCTTGGAGCGCCCTCGGGCCGTCTTGGAACTCGCCTGGGCCGTCCTGGGGCCCTCTTTGGGAGCCGCTTGGGTCGTATTGGCCAGATTTCTCGGTCCTGGTGGGCTGTCTTGGCCCGTCGAAAGCATGAGAAAGCCAGAACACGGAAAACCTTTAAAACCTAAGAAAAAAATGTTTCGCCTCCTGAGGGCCTCGTGGTACTCATTTTGAGGGCCTCTTGGCCGTGTTGAGGCCCTCTTGGGTTATCGTAGGCTCTCTTGGAGCGCTTTGGTCATTTTTTGTTTGTTGCTCCGCAAAGCGTGGCGAGGCCCAGGTGCACGAAGCGTGTGCGCACCATCCCAGCAGCCCATCGTATGTCCAGGACTGGGGGCACTGCGCGACGTCGACCGAGGGCGCTTGTGACCCAGCGTGAGCCCGACCCGCGGACGTTTGTATCGAGCTCATGATAAGTAAGATGGAGGGAGGAGGAGAAGGAGGAGGAGGAGCAATAATCAGCAGGCAGCGTGGATGCCAAAAGCGGCAGTCACGCGCATCATCTGCTCGAAAACCCTGGCGCACGCCAGAAATACAAATGCACCGGCCGCAAGAGAAAGAGGAGGAGAAAACTGCGGGATGGAGGCTTGGCTGTCGATGCAGCGTCGCATCGCACAAATGACTCGCAAGCACATTGGAAAGGCCAACCGTGCTTTTTGTCGTGTGTCTCGCGAGACGGAATCTACGACGGCTCCGCCTCCACGAGCTCTGGCCCGTCGCTCGCTGGAAGGATGCCGTACGTATTCAGGGTAGGATGTGAGGAGAAGTAGTGCATCTTGATGTGCTTGATGTTGGTGGTGGCCTTGACCGCCTGGATGGAGTAGCACGTGCGCACAAAACGCAGCAGGTGCGGGAAGTCGGCGAGCCGCTTGTGGCTCGTCTTGAAGTAGACGACATACACCGGGTCAAAACGCACAAGAGTCATGTACAAGCGCAGGTCGATCCACCGGAATTCGGACCCTGTCAAGAAAGCCGTCCCACTTTTGGCCAATAGCGCCTCGAGGCGATCGAGGGATGCAAACAACTCCGCGTGCGCCCGGACATAGGCCTCTTGAGTGCGTGCGAAGCCGCAACGATAGACGCCGTTGTTGACAGTCGGGTAGATATAAGAGTTAAGCTCCTCCGCCGCCGCCGACTCAGCTTTGTTGAACAGCTTGCGCTCGGGGTGCTTGCACCACTCATCGAAGGCACCGTCAAGTATCTGCAGGATCTCCATGCTTTCGTTGGAAACGATGGTACCCTCCTTCTTGCACCAGAGAACAGGGGTGGTGTACTTGCCCGTCTGATCGTTCGCACGCTCGTACAGCTCGCGGATGGTCTTGCAGCCATTGACAGTGTCGGGGATGCACGCGTCATCGCATTCGAACGAACCGTGGCCGAGCTCGTTGGTCACTGGCGCGTCACCGGGAGCTCTGAAGTGCCAGCCAGTGTGTAGATCTTCCGGATCGTCACAGCGGGTGCGGCGCCAAGTCGGATGGACCACGGAGACGCTGATGATGTCCTCGAGGCCCTTGAACTTGAGTGCTGTGAGACAACCATTGGCCCATGGGCAACCGAGCGCCACGTACAGATGGTACCGGCTGGCTTCAGGCTCGAAGCGTGATTCTGATGCTACTCTATTGCTGAAGCCAGCAGCCGATCGCTGGAAATCGCCCTTGCTGTCAATCTCATCAAGTGCTGTGTGTGCCTTGACCATGTTCACGAGATCGACCTATGAAATACTGTCTGCTGCGGCAGCCAGAGACGGCTTGAGCCAAAATGGCTTGAGCCAAAATGTCTACGGAGGAGCGCTTTGGTCAGTCTTGGAGCCCTCTTGGACATCTGTTAGGCCCTCTCGTCGCCCCTCCTCCCCTCCTTCTGACGCGTTTTGGCGCTCCCCGACGGGTCCAAAACCCCCGTGTGCAAAATTCAGTGCTCCCCAGGGCCACTCGGATCGCCTCCCCATACATACATACATATGTGTATATATATATATACACATATACATGTACATATACATATGCATATACATATACATATACATAAATGTGTGTATGTATATGTACGTACGTACATACGTACGTATGTATGTATGCATGCATGCCTGCATGTATGTATGTATGTATGTATGTATGTATGTGTATGTATGTATGTGTGTATGTGTGTGTATGTATGTATGTATGTATGTATGTATGTATGTATGTATGTATGTATGTATGTACATGAGTATGTGTGTATGGATGCATGTATATATAACATACATGTGTGTATGTATTTGTATGTATGCATGCATGCATGCATGTTTGTACGTGTGTATGCGGATGTGCATGTGTGTGTATGTATGTGTGTATGTACGTATGTATGTGTATATGTGTGTATGTATGTATGAATAGATGTATGTGTATGTGTATGTGTATGCATGTATGTATGCATGTATGGATGTGTGTGTATGTATGTATGGATGTATGCGTATATGTATGTGTGTATGCATGTATGTATGTGATGAATATGTGTATGGATGTATGCATGCATGCATGTATGCATATGTATGTGTGAATGGATGTATGCATGGATGTATGTATGTGTGTGTACGTATGTATGTGTATGTATGTATGTGTGTAGTATGTATGTATGTATGTGTATGTAAGTGTGTATGTGTGTATGTGTGTTTGTATGTGTATGTATGTGTACATGCGTACGTATGTAAGTATGCATGGATGCACATAGATATGTGTATGCATGTATGTATGTATGTATGCAGGTATACATGTTCGCTGAACACAGTCATGCACGTACATGCATATTCAATGTATACATAAGCATGTACGTGTACACCAACACATACGACATATAATGTATATACATACAGATGTATGCGTATGCATGCGTATACGTGTGCTCAATGGGGAATTAAGATGTGGGTACATGGAATGCCTGTGGAACAATCGTAAAGAACATATGGATATGTAGGTATATAAGATATATTGGATAAGCACACGTATACGCGTGTGGACATATGATATGGAGCATAGTTTAACACATATATGTTTGCATGAATACGTGCATATGCTTCATGCACCCTTGAACTGTGCGCCACCAGTGTGCTGGCGAGAATACATCAACCGTCCCTGAACCAACCAATACTGTACCAGTACCTGTCAGAAGTCACCTGGCTACAATAAAACACAAATTGAAAGTCGCCGGAAAGAGGATTATCCCACGCATCCCATCTGCGAAGAACTTGCCCTCTTCGAAGGCCGCCGCCTCACCTGGCCCCCGACCACAATCTGTTCAAACCAGTCCCTGGACCCCTTCCCAGGGCCCATCCTGATCAGGCCCCCAAGCTGCGCGACGAGAACCCCAGGAAGCACTCGGCAGGCTCCAAGACGACGACGTCGTCATCGTCAGCTGATCCGCCTGCTCCTTGTACTGCTGCTCCTCCCCCCCCCTCGTCCTCCTCCTCCTGCTCCTCCCCCCCCCCACCCCGAAGTCAGAAATCTGTGGGCTCTCCAGAAGAGGTCTCTGAAAGCATCTGGAAGCCGCAGGAAACCCGAAATGTCAAAAACGATAGAAAACGACGTCTTAGAAAACTACATCTTCCCTCATCTGATGGGCCGATTTTCCACCACCACTACCATACGTGGGAGAAGGAGGAGTAGGAGGGGGAGAAGGAGGACCTCTCCATCCTCCATTCCCTCCCGTCCTACATATGGTGGCGGTGGTGGAAAATTGGCCAATAATCATCCCCCATCTTCCTTCTTCTCCATGAGTGCGAGAAGATCGCCCAGGTACGCACAGACAGCGATAAGAGGGAAGGAGGAGGAGGATGTTGACATACCCGGCCAACGGCCACAGTCAAATGGGGCAAACACCTCGTCCGAGGAGTGCCCGAAACAGCGCTGCTAGTCACACTGAAGCGACCGAGTCTCTAAACGCTCGTGCTGATGCTCCTCCGTCATCCCAATATTCCTCCTATCGTCCTCCTCCTCATCCTCCTTTCAAGACTGTCAAGACGGCAGCAAGTACGACGACGACTGAGCAGAGAAGCAAAGCCATTGCACAATACTCTGATGCAACATCGCGAAAAAACACTACCAGAGCCTTTGATCCCATCTTTCTGCGGCATGTGTCGAGCCGCATCGATCTGTGAGGGTACCAGGGCCCGAAACAAAACAGAATCGCCCACTGTGGGAAATTGCAGCGCCAGGATCTCCGGGTCCTCCTCCTCCTCCTCCTCCTCCTCCTCCTCCTCCTCCTCCTCCTCCTCCTCTTTATTAACGTTGAGCGGACATAAACTGCACAGCTGTTGCGCTCATGGGAGGAAAAGGTGCAATGCAACGAATCAACTCAGGCGCTACGGCCTACACAATCAACCTGGGTGGGCGCAGCAGAAGGCAGGTGGGCGACAGGAGGAAAAGCAAAGAAAGCCAGGTCCGCGCTCACCAGGTCGGGGAGGGGGAGCGGAGCGGAGCGCCACTCGAGCAAACCTGTCGGCTGCTCGGCCCTGTGCAGGGCATGGGTGAACCATCAACATACCGGCTAGACAGATCAGTACTACACATGAGCAGAACTGGGAAATTCGGAACGACCATGCGCTCTCAACTCGGATCAGGAGCGGAAGGGAGCATGTGAAAATCATCTGCACCTCCTCGTCCTCATCCCCACGGGCGAAGGGGCAATCCAGCCGTCGACCCCGGGGGTGTCGGCCCTGCCTTTTCCATGGACCTGAGCGGGCGCCGCGGCGGGGGGGGGAGCGCCGAGGGTGGGAGGGCAATGTGAGGGGGGTGAGGAGGAGGAGGAGCATCAGGAGGAGGAGGAGGAGGAGGAGGAGGAGGAGGAAGAGCATCAGGAGAAGGAGCAGCAGAAAAAGGAGGGGGAGCATCAGGAGAAGGAGTGAGGAGGAGTGGGGGGAGGGAAGGAAGGGGGGATGAGGAGGAGTGGGGGGACGGGGAAGCCAACCGTACCAGTCAATACGGTCATCCGCATAACTGTGCCAGCACACTTGTCAGATCCACCCGCTATCCCCTACCTTGCCAGTGCTAAGTTGAGCTCAAGGCCAGCTGAGACCCTAGTGCTCCTTGTTCACATTGCACTCAAAGCCAGACTAGAATACGAACTTCCGCATACTTTCGCCTGCTTTCCTGATTTGGCATCTCAAAAATCCTGATCCGTTCTATCGAACCGTCGGCTCACACAGTGCCACCATGTAAATGCGAAGCCTCTACAGCAGGGCAAGAAGCACTTTTACCTGCAACACTGTAAGGCACAATGGACTGCTAGTCAGACTGCCCTCGCACATCATCCGTGCCAGCCATAGACCGATCCCTCCGCCCCATGCCACCAGCGGCACACGCACGCATTTCGCCTTACAGCAGCATTCGCCCTACCAGGTAGACAGCGCTGGAACCACCAGCAGAGTGTGTATAACACTAGCCTGCCTCTTTTCAACTCTCGACAAATGTACCCTGAAGCCAGAGGGACATGTTCAACGTAAGGCTGCCTTCGGGATCCCACGCATGCCCAAACACACAGAGCCCGTTTCAGACAGGAAATAAACTGCCGACCCAGCCAGCGCCAGCACAGTAGTATCACCCACTTGCCATCGAGGATCGGCAATCGGTTCGATTTAAGGTTGACGACGGCAGTTCTGGAGGATCGAGAGACACACGGATGACACTGGCTACGATATTTTTCGACGCAATTTTGGCCCGCCAGTAGGGAAACAGGTCCTGCCCTCAGTGGTCGACCGGCAGCAAGCGCCTGTATCCACAACCGGTGCAGCCCGCATCACGTTCAGTAGATAGTTTCCTACCACCAAGGTGTCCTCCATCGATCGCTCTCGTTTTGCTATTCACATACGCAGATCACCTTGTCACTTGCGGTCGTCGGCGTTAGCCTCGTCGCGCCTGTGGGTGCGGTGGGCGAATTCCCGTGAAGGCTGCAGAACAGCCAGAAGCACAAGCTGTTCAGGAAATGGAGGGTGAGGTCGTTGAACAGTTGGGGGAAGTGCGAATGTGCGTCCACATCGCACTCTGCGCAGTCTGTGGATGGGTGCTAATAATTGGTGAAAGGGTGAAAGGTAGAAACATGGCGGCACCGGCAACCGACGAGTCTTTCAGGGGCCCGGACCCCAACTTGCCAACTCTCCCGGGTTTAGACGCGCACCCCCTGGGCTTCCCCGCATCTCCCCGCGTAACTTGCTGGGGCCCAAGAATGCCCCAAGACTGGCAAAAAAGGCCCCCAAGAGGGCCTCGAGACGCCCAAAAGATCGCCCCAAGACGCCCAAGATGACCCCCAGACCTTCCAAAGTCTGCAAGACGCCCCAAGAGGCTCCAAGCGGTCTCCCCAGAAGACCCCGAAAGACCAAAGTCAGTAAATGCCATTGGTTTTTGAAGGTTTTTGGTCTTCGCGCCAAGAAGCCCCCAAGATCGTCCCCAGACGGCTCAAAAGGCCGCCAAGACGGCCTCAAGACTGCCCCAAGACAGCCCCAGAGGCGCCCAAGACTGCCCAAGAGGGCCCCGAGACGGTCCCAAGAGGAGTACAAGAGGGGGACCACGAACCAAAAAATTCGAGCTCTGCGCCCCGAGAGGGCCCCAGGAGGCCCCAAGAGGTGCCCCCAAGAGACCCCATGAGGCCCCCAAGAGGCCCACTCGAGGCCACACGAGGCCCCATGACGGCCCCGCAGAAATCCAAAACGGCCTCAAAGAGGCCCCCGAGAGGCCTCCCGCGACATCCCAACGAAATGAGGTGGACATGTGGGGATTCCCGCGTCGAGCAAGTCCCATTATGATCACTACTGTCAGAATAGACAAAGTACGAACAAGAAGAAGAATAGTAGTAATACGGATTACCATTGTTAACAACACAGAATGCACAACCATATAAAAATACTGATGATGATAGTAATAATAATAATACTAATACTAACCGTAACCGTAGCATCGATAGAAATAATACTAGAAGTAACAATACTAAGTACAATAATGTGAACATCAATAAAAATACTAACAGTGACCGTAATAGTCATCAAAGTAAGAATGAGAGTGATAGTAATAGCAACAGGAATAACAACAGTAACATCAAAATAATAGTAATAGCAGTAGTAGTAAGAATCGTAATAGTGATGGTAATAGGAGTAGTAAGAGTAGTCGTAATAAAAATAGTAATGGAAATACGAATGGTACTAGAGACAGTAATAGTAATAATGATGGAAATAGTAATAGTAAAAGCAGTAGGAATAGTACGAGTACTCGTACTACATTACTGACAATATAACTAGTAAGCATAACAAGAGTCATAGCAATAGCAATATCCATAGTACAATTAAAAGTAAAAATACGGGTAATAATAATAGTAATAACAATCATAATCGCAATGGGAGTAGCAATAGTAACAGCACGAGTACGCACAATAATATTTGTACTAATAGGAATAAGAGTACGAGTACAAGTAAGAGGAATAGTAATAGCAAAAATGATCCGAATAGTGATAATGAGAGTAAGAATAACAGTAATACGAATGGAAATAACGATATCAATAGTAATAGCAATAGTAATGGGAATAGAAAAAGCAATGGCAGCAGTAGTACTAAAAGTTATAGCAGCAGTGATAGTACTAGCAATAATAATAGTAATCGCGATAGAAGTAGTAATTGGAATCGTAAAAGTAGTGGAAATAATGATCGTAATATTATAATACGTGAACTAATATTGGAAAAGTAATGGTAATACTGCTGGGAAAGGTAAAACTGATAGTGAAAATAAAAATAATAGTAGCAACAGCAATAAGAATGGGAATCGTAATAGTGATAGTGATCATATAGGTAATATCACTAAACATAGAAAGGGTAACAGTACGAATGTAAAAGAATAGCAATACTAAAGGAGCTAAAAAAAATAGCAGTGGGAAAAACAGTAGTAGTACGAATAATAGCAGTGCTACTAGTAATGCTAAAAGTCATATGAATAATGATAGTAAAAGTAGTCAGAATCATAATAGTAGTAGTAGTAGCACTTACTTATAACACTACAAATATTAAAATTAATAATCGCAATGAGAAAAAGACTACCAACAGAACGACTAGAAATAATATTCAGAGTACGAATGCTATCACTAAACTAATTGCAGTATTGAGCACGACGAGTATACCGTTACTACTACCAGTACTACTAACACCAACACTAGTCATACTAGTACGTGTATTCAGTAGTAGTGCTCACATGAATATCAATACTTTTGTTGTTCGTACTAATACCATTGGATAAATATCATTCGGCGGAAGAGTCGCGGCCACCGGGCATCGCGCCCTGCGCGCCGCGGGACGCGCGGCGCAGGCGTCGCGCCTGCATCCTCGCGCCCGCGCGCCGCGCCCATTGGGAAGAGCGACGCTCTGGACTCTGGCCAGCTGCGCGCGAAGCGCACTTATCTTCGCGCCCGTACAGCCCTTGGAGAGATAGAGCCCCAGGGATGGCAAAGGGATCACAAGCTGAACCTCCTCTGTTCGGGGCTGTCCGTCCTCAGGGCCCTTCGGTGGCAACTCATGGGAGACTCCCATGGCATAGTGGTGGCTCTCGCGAATCGGCGCTAATCGACGCCAAGTCGACGCTGGTCGACGCGACATGAACGCTCATCGACGCTGTCAAGCGCTAGCGCACGCTAACTAATGCATTCCCAAGACGGAATTGCGAGAACCCACAGGGCTCCCAGGAATTGCTCCCGAACCCACCCCTCAGGTCCCCACCTTCGAACCGCCGACGAGGGGGGCGAGGAGCTGGCCACGACGAGCGACGGGCCACGTCGTCCACGGCGCTCGAGTGCGCGAGCCCCGCCGCGGGGGCCCGAGGAGCAGAAGATGCAGGCGCCACGGAGGGGAAGCACGAGGCAGCGAGCGAGACAGCGGGCAGAACCAGTCAGCATCAAGCCGAAAAAAAACGGACCAGCTCGGTCGGAACGCGTCTTGAAGGCGGGAGGTGGGAGCGGGCAAGATGCCTCCGCGGCTGGTGCCCACCCGCGGATGCCGCCACGCACCGAGGGCTAACGTGAAGCCATCGTGACGAGTCTGGGGAGGCACGGCACAGGTGAGAAAGCGGTGACAGGACCAGGCAGCATCGCATCGGAAAAACGGACCGCATCGGAACGTCCGTCGGAGCTGGCCGCGTCGGCACGAAGCCAGAGTGGCACATGAGCGGCCGCGCAGGGGTGCGCGACAGCGCCGTGCAAGCATCGGGCCGCATCGGACAGAAGAATGTCGGAATTCAAGGGGCCTTGGGAAACACAAATAAAGAGACACATAACACCGGATTCCCCATATGTTCTCATAGTTTCTGGGTTTTGCCTTCCCCCCACTTCCCATATGTTCCCATCTGTTCTTGGGAATCGATGATTACTTGTGTCTGTGTGTTTTCCCTCCTGGGGAATTTCGGAATCTGAATCGATCGGACCGAAATGTACCCTGGCGGGTGGGCTGGAGAGTTCGGGTCATTGTCTCAAAGAGCAAATTATCCTGGCGAAGGGCACAACCATATGCAAGCGTGAGAACCGCAAGACGAATGGATTGTCAAAAAAAGGCCGCGGCCACGCATGCAACTCCTGCAACTAGGGCATCCCGTGGAACTCTGCATGGGGCCACGAACCGTGCGAGGGGCGTGCCGAGACGAAGGGGCCGCCATGCGACTCCTGCCACCGGGGTCTTCGGTGGAGCTCCGTATCTTACCACTGGGGCCTTCGGTAGATCTCCGTATGGGGCCACGATCCGCGTGAGTGGCGTTCCAAAATGACTGCGGCCACGCATGCGACTCCTGCCATTGGGGCCTTCGGTGAAACTCTGTATGGGGTCGCGAACCGTGCGAGGGGCGTGCCGAAACGAAGGGGCGGCCGCCATGCGACTCCTGCAACTGGGGCCTTCGGTGGAGCTTCCCATGGAGCCGCGAACCGTGTGAGGGTTGTGCCGAAACGAAGGGGCGGCCGCCATGCGACTCCTGCCACTGGGGCCGTCGGAGCTCCTTATGGGGCCACGAACCGTGTGAGGGGCTTGCCGAAACGAAGTGGCCGCCATGCGACTCCTGCCAATGGGGCAGTCGGTGGAGCTCCGTATGGGGCCACGAACCGTGTGAGGGGTGTGCCGAAACGAAGGGACGGCCGCCATGCGACTCCTGCCACTGGGACCTTCGGTGGAGCTCCCTATGGGGGCACAAACCGCGTGAGGGGTGTACCGAAAAGAAGGGGCGGCCGCCATGCGACTCCTGCCACTGGCGGCCTTCGGTGGAGCTCCCCATGGGGCCACGATCCGTGGGAGGGCTGCCGAAATGAACACGTGGAGAGGAGCAGCAGGAGGAGGAGGGACGAGGGAGGAGGAAGGAGGACGGAGTGAACGCGGGGCGCTGCGGTTTCAAAACGAGGACCCAACCCAACAGGATGGCTGGGAAAAACACAAACATGAACTTTCGGAGATCCGCGCCAATTTCTTGGATCGGCGCTCCCCCCTGCCTAGCGCGCAGTGCGCGCCAGGGGCTGCGCCAGAGGCGCCACCAGGGGGGTCCAGCGCCGATACAAGAAATTCCGTGCGGAGCTCCGAAAGCTTATGTTTATGCAGTTGTTGCTCTTCTTCGAATTCGGGCCACTGTCGCTGTCATCCCCGTCTCAAGCCAGAGGTGCCGGGAGAGGGCCTTGGCCCTGGTGTTGTCGCTCATGCCGATGGCCAGGATGGTGACGATCGTGCCGGGTCGGATGACAGCCTTTGGCTCGCTGTCCCGGTTCTCGGCCACCCGCACCTGGGTTCCCAGACATGTTCGCGTGGTGAAAAACATAACAAAAAAAAACGGCGCGAGGTTTTGGGCCATTTTCTGCCTCCTGGTGCCGTCTCCCGGCCCAGGACCGCCAAAAAATGACTCGGAATGGAAAAGTGGCCCTGGGGACAGGGTCGGGACGCTGGGGGGGAGCCGCATTTAAAAAATCCAACGACTGCGTCGGTATGTGTGTGTGTGAAAGGCTTTCCCAATCAAGCCGTCGTCGTCGTCGCCGCCAACCTCAAACGTTGCAGCCAGAGGGAAACCGAGCAACGTCGTAGTTGACTCGAAGGGAAGCTCCTTCCCTTCGATCCCTCCCTCGCCGGGGCGGGGGGGAGTCCTGGGAGTTGTGACCCCCCCCGGGTGGGTGGGGGCACCCCTCCCTGGGAGAGGCTTTCGGCTCCAGAGCGTAAGCGTCGTCGTTGTCATCGCCGTCGTCGTCGTCGTCCCCCTTCAGGGTCGGCGGCAGCGGCTGCAAAGCCTTCGCACTTAAGACGTCGCACGTCGGGGGCTCAACTCCCGCCAGTGACCCCTCCTTCCACAGTCTTCGACCAGAACAACCACGAAAAACTGAAGACGAGGGTGCCAACAAAATGCCCCAGGCAGACCAGGGGACACGCGAAGGCCAACCTGCCATAGGCGAAACAACGTGCGGCTCCGTCGCCTGTGCAAACAAAGGAGCGTTGTCTTGTGCACGTAGCCGAAGCATGAACCTCCCTTCCTGCCAGAGTCTAAGTTTGACACGGTGAGCCTTGGACGAGGAACGAAGCCTCTGTCTTGGGCTTCGGTCCTGACTAGGTGCGCGAAAAGCGCCACGGGAAAGCAGTTTGAAGGACCCAGGGAACACCTATCCCCTTCAGAAACCAAGCAAGACCTAGTCTCAAAAAAATCACCGGCCCAACGGGCCAAATGCGTGCTAAAATCTCGAGGTCCCTGAACAAAAAGCACCCCATGCAAATCCCGGGCGGTGACTGGGCGGTCCCCGTCACAGATACCGGAACTCTTGGGGGCTGCCTTCAGGTCAAGAGCGTCTCAAGAGGCCCCCCTAGGCGGTCTAAGAGGGCCAAGAGTCACCGGAAGTCTTTCCAAGATAACCAAGATATCGCCTCCAGAAGGCTTCAACCGCCTCCAAGACGCCCGAAAATGCCTCCAAGACCACTCCCTGGAAGCCCCCTAGAAGCAAAATTCAACGATTTCCGATTGGTTTTTCAAGGTTTTCAGCGTTCTCACCTTTTCGGCCGCCGACGCTCTAAGACGAGCCAAGAAACCCTTAATATCGCTACAAGACGCCTCCATGAGAGCTCCAAAACGGCCCACGGGGACTCCAAGAAGGCTCGAGTTTATCCCAAGACGGCGCTGGAGAGCCCCAAGACACCTCCAGAAAAACTCCTCGAGGGGGAGCCCCAACGGACAGTTCGAGCGTTCGGCCTCAAATCGCCCCAATACGGCCTAAGAGGCCTCTAAGAGAACCCCACCACGGCCCAAGAGGGCCCCAAGACGGCCCCAGAGGCCTCCAAGACGGACAGAGAGAGCCCAGGACGGCCCCAAGAGGGGAGGAAGCCGAACGAGCATTTCGAGCCTTCGGCCCCAAGATGCGTCCAGGCTGCCCCAAGCGGCCCCTAAGAGCCCCCCAAGAGGGTCCAAGAGGCCCCCAAGAGGCGCCAAGACAGCCCATAGAGGCATCCAAGGCGCCGCCAGGAGGCCCAGAAGAGCCCCGAAAACTGCTACACAAGAGTACCCCTAGAACCCTACGAAGAGACACCAAGAAGCATACATAAAGAATATCACCCACAACCGCAGCAGCGCCAACCAGCACAATACGGGCCGGCGGAATGAGCGAAGCGATTCGTTAACATAGATTAGTCATAAAAGGGAGGCCTCATTTGGGAGGGGGTCAGATTTGAGCCGTCTTGCAGGATTCTGGCGGGTCTTGGCAAAAGGCGGTCGTTTCACGACTGGTCTGCGGTGAGATCTAAAATTCTCCCCTCTGGGAGGGCTGTCGCCCTCTTCCTATCTGACATTAGCTGCCACCTTGGTCCGCCTGCCAAAACGCGGTCCCGGGCCCTCCGAGGGTACAGAGAGGGATGGCAGGCAGCTCTGCTCAGATGAACGGTCGTCGCAGCCGAATATGCCTCTCTCCATTGCTAAGACGAAGCTAGGACGACAACAAATTCGGACGAAGATAAATCGGGAATTTCTAGAGAATGTATCTCGCGCCACGGCCGTTTCAAAACGGTCCAGAATACTCTGAGCGTGTTCCAGTACGCTTTAGAGCGATTCATCCTCCTCCTCATCCTGGAGCAAGCCCCTACGGGGGGGAGGGGGCGAGATTTCAGCGTCAGGGGAAGGATTCGCAAATGGTCGCAACTGAGCCCTCCGGAATGTACGAGACCGCATGACGTTCACACCACAGCGATTGCACGTCTCTGATCCTCTGCGCACGAGCGCTGCGGGGGCACCGTCAGGTCGAAGAGTACTTGGTGCTCACCGTTGACCTTAAAGCCTGCCAAGACAAACTGGAAGTCCCTGCTACGCTTGATGACAAGAGGCTCGTTCAGCTGTGTCCTTAATTTAGGCGGCGCACCTGGGGGGGAAGTGAGCAAGGGCGGGCCTTCTCAGAAGGCTCGGAAGTCCCCCGGCCTTATGAAAAGATTTCTCAGCCTTCCCCGAAGACAGAAAAACCTCTCAGAGGGCGCGAGGGCTTCTGAGAAGTCCCACCGCCTTCCGAGAAGGCCTTCTCCTTCTCATTTCCGCCCCTCGCTAGCCGCCGATGATCAGCGGACGAAGAACGGTCCAAATTGCAACGTGCCGCCACCAGGGACGCCTGGCCGAGGGCGGCTGGAAATGTCCCTAGAACGGACCCCCAGGGCGACACGTCGGAGTAGAATTAAGTCGGGCGTGTCCCCCAACATGGGGATTTTCTACGAAAAATAAGAAATACCCCAAAAATAATCAAAAAATAATCCAAAAATAGTATGGGGACTATTTTGGGAATATGTTTGTTGTCTTTTTTGATGCATTTTTGGCGTATTTTTGATTATTTTTTTTTTCGAAAATCCCCCTGTAGGGGGACACGCCCGACATAAGAGTAGAAATGTTCCGGACGCCCTGGGACAGGCGTCCCCGAGGGTGGACACGTTGATTATGCACCTCTCTCCGTCCGCCGAAAGCGGCACGGGCTGGACAGAGACGTCGGGGCAGCACTTCCCAGCCGCCTTGGGACGGGCGCCCCCCGAGGGTGGAAGAGCTGACTCTGTACCCCTCTCCGTCCGCCACGAGCGGCAGGGGCTGGACGGAGCGAGGGACGGAGAGAGGCGCCCGTCGAGACCCCGGCGGCTCTCTCCCGCCCGAGGTCCGCTCGAGAGCGGCCCCCGGGGCCCTCCCCGGGGGTCCGTCCTGACCATGCTTTTCGGGGCGGGTCCGGCCCCGGCGAGGAGAAGTCTCCGAGTGGCAGCGAGAAGGACGACGCATGCCCAGGGAGGGGCGCCGCTGACTCGACTGGCCATCTCCTCCGAAGAGCCGCATTCGCGCGCGCGAGCGCGCCTGACACGGGTCACGAGCAGTCGGCACCGAGTCGGGAATCGGATCGGCTCGGCGCGTGCGTCGGCTCGGGCCGCACGGGCACAGAACCGAGATCGACCTGGCTCGAGGGCGCCGTGCAAGCACCGGGCCGCAGCTGGTCGTCGGAACATCGGAGGCCCAGGCTAATGTGAGGAGGGCTGGGGCCTGGCTTCCCAGTGCAACGTCTAGCACATTGTTGGAGCAGTGCTTCCACATCTTAGGCATGCACATGACCAGTGGGCAGTTTGGCTCAGAAGAGTCCCGCAAGGGACGAAACGTCAGCCTCATACCGACAAAACACTTGCATCAGAGCGCTTTCACCGTCCAGTTGGAGTGTTTTGATTCGATCGGATCGGGCCAACTGGGTCGTCGTCGTCGTCGTCGTCGCCCCCCCCTCAGGGTCGGCGGCACCAACCGCATGGCCTTCGCAATGTGTCGGAATCGGATCGGATCGGACAAGCCGGTTCGGAGTGGACCCTGGCCAGCCGCAACTTGTATCGAGTCGGACCGACCAGGTCGAAGTGGGGGCGTCTTGGGCCGTCTCGGGGTGATCCTCGTGGCCTATTGACCCGTCTTGGGGCGTCGAAAGCCCGCAAAGGCGAAAGCACTGAAAACCCGCCAAAAAACCCGGCACCTCCGTCCGCTCCAACTGTATCGATGCGTGGGCCCCCGATGTCTGGACCACTGCCCTAAGGGACCAGTGTCTCGTCCTGAGTCGTGCTTTGATCCCGAGGCCGGACGAGGGCCCCCAGAGGCCGAAAACAGCCAAAAACCGGCCGCTCCAATTTTGAGCTCAGGAAACTAAGAAGAAACAAATATATAGATATATATATATATATATATATATATATATATCGTGCCACGTCGCCCGCTACAGCCGCGCCCCGCCGCGGCGACCCCGAGGAGCGGAGGATGCCGGCGTCGCGGAGCGGCGGCCCTGGCAGGAAGCGAGGCAGCGGGCACGCCCCCGGTCAGACAGCACCGGGTCGGGAGATCGGGTCGGGCGCCCGAGGTGCTCTCTCCAGCGAGGGGGGGGGAGAGGTGGGGCGTGCAGCGCGCATCTATAGGATGGACAGCGCACGGGCGCCGAGAGGGGCGCAGGACGAGGAAGGGGGTGCGCACGATGGACTGCGCGCTTCGGCACGATGCACCGCTTCGTCGGAACGCGCGTCGGGATCGGGCCGCATCGGCACGGAGTCGGAGTCGGATCGGATCGGATCGCAGCGGCCGCGCCACGATGCACAGCAGCGCCACGCAGGCGTCTGGCACCATCGGATCGTTTAGATATCGAAGTCAGATGGCGACGTCCGAACCAACCCCCGCCGGCCATGGATACTCCTGAA